ACATTAGAATTGGATTACAGCGTCGAACAATTCCCATAGGCCACAAAAAAACCATACGCTACAAAAAAAACTACAATGACTCCCAGAGGCCACAAAAAACCACAAGCCACAAAAAAAAATACAATGAGTATGAAATCTATATTAAAAAGGAACATGACATATATAGAGAAGGAGAGGGATAAGGGCTTACTTTTCATTACTTGACTTTATCTCTAGGATTTCGGTCCTCTTTAACGATATGGTCTCAAGGCTTTCAGTTATATTAAACGATATCGATAGAGAACGATACGGTCTTGTTAAGCTTTCAGGAAGGGAATGCGAGTATGATGAAATTGTAATAAGTAGAGAAAGAGAGATCGTAATTAGTAGAGAAAAAGAAAGATTGTAATCAGTAGGGAAAAAGATAGGATGAGTAACAGTAGAGAGAATGAGGAAAGTGAAAATCATAGAAAAAGAGAGAGAATTGAAAGAAAGATTGATGAATATAGTTTTTTTGTTTTTTGTTTTCACGTTCTTTTTTTTTATTTTTCTTTTCTTTTGGCGAAGATCAATTACAAGTAGTCTTACTACAATATTTCTTGCTTCAAAGAAAATAAAACTAATAAATCCAATATCTTAAAAACCTTAATGGTATTAAACCAAATTTTTTTAAACAAAAAAAATATCCACTACTTGGGAATATAAATATAAATATGTCAAGAAACAAAAAGAGAGTGTCGAAATTACTTCAATCGGGATCATTATACCCCATACTGAGTCACCACCATCCGATGGCATAGGATCAACAGTCAACCTTCAGTATCAACAGGGAAAGCAAGCCCTCTAATGAAACTATGAAGTCCTTTATCACAAATCTCAAACCCTTAAGTGAATTCCTTTAGCAACCTAGTTTGCGATAAATACTTCTCTTTTCTACGTAAACCCTATAGTCTAAAACCCCAATGAGAGATGAGAGATCATAAGAGCGTTGAAAAAATTACCGTGAGACAGATATCAATGATGAGAGAGTGAGAGATATCAAAGATGAGAGAGTGGGGCGTATCCCTTTGGGTCTCTTGAGAGAGAGTAAAACTTTCTTAAGAGAGAGAAATTCTAAAGGGGTGCCCCTTTGTGGGATATGAAAGAAAAAGATGTGAATCAGGTGTAAGAGATAAGGTGTAGAAATTTTGGGTAGAGATAATATCTTTTTATAGGCTTTGAACATAATTAGGGCTTTTTAGGGTTTTCTTTGGCTTGTCTCTTCTTGTGAGATTGAATATAAACCATTGAGCTTAGGTGACTTGTGGGGTGAGAGATTTGAGCCATCCATTTCATCAATAGGTCATCAATATTATGGAAGGTGGTAGAACCTTTATCCCCGATTTTTAAACCATTTTCCTATCAATAGAAATTAAATAAAATAGTTTCATTCATAATATAATACTTATCAAAATTATGCACAAGCTTTCTCAAGCTTTCCAAAAATCCTTTGAAAGCTTCCTCAAGGCAAAATCTTTCCAAAACACTTCAAAGCTTTGTCTTCAACCCAAAGTTTGAACTAACGCAACGAAAGTTTCATTAGGGTGGGGTGTGCCACCCTAGGTAGTACTTCATGAGCCCCCACTCAGATGCAATAGTGGGCCCATTAACATATTGGACCTGCTATGCAATATTAAAAGTATTAAAATTAATTATATGATTTTTAGAAATCCATAAAATCAAATTTGAATATTTAAATCAATCTAAAATTAATATCTCTATTTTTATAAATCCAAATTTGATAAATAAAATATCTAGAGATCTAGAAAAATTTAAATAATAAATATAAAAATCATATATCATTAAAACATACATAATTAAATTCATTAGATGGGAAAATGATCCATTTGGCTTAGGAATTAATAAATAAACGAGGGACACTCCACCCTCAATTGTGGACTACGGTCCACACTTGCTTTATCAAACCGACCAGTGTTTCTCATGACCCACAATCCATGCAAGAGCTCATTAGTTGGTCACCAAAGTCTGTGTTTCTCATGACCCACAATCCATGCAAGGGCTCATTAGTTGGTCACCAAAGTCTGGCCATTGAGCCAATCAATCGTAATCTCAGTTTGTGGATTTTCTGTTTTCCCTTAGAGACGTACCAAATTCACGTAGACCTGATACGATCACAGCTCATATGGTACATATGGGTATCTCTAGCATATGCATAAACTTCACTCTAAAAGATAATTCGCTTTCCCGAAACGGCTATCATAATGCATGCCGCGTGATGGTTCGTGGATGAGGCTTTGGCGCCATCTCTGAAGACCACCATCACACACAAGGGTCACACAGTAAAATATGGGTAAAATCGTTATAAAATAGTCACACTTTCCTAACGATTTTTTAAAAATAATATCTTATTTTTTTGGCTGTTTAAATTTAAAAAACTCACACTTTTTTACTATCTCTCACATATCTCTATATCATAAAATAATATCTTATTTTCTTGGCAGTTTGAATTTAGAGAAAATTACGTATATACCTGAAAATGGGTAAAATCATCTTTTTTAAAAAATCTCATTATGAAAGTGAAAAAACGGATATGGAGGTAATAACGAAAACTGAAAGGTGGATATGTAATAACGCATAATATAACAGATATATAGATAATTTTCTCTTGAATTTAAAAAACTCACACTCTCACGTATCTCTATATCATAATATCTTTCAACGATCATAGTAGTTATCCTTTGTTTTTGATGAAGTGATTCAACCGTAATAGTAGTTATCTATTTTTTTTCTTTTTTCTCTCTCGTAAAAGTTACCTCAAACCCTATATTATCTTTAGGACATAGGGTATTTTTCTAATTTTTTGACACTATCATCACAATATTGTAGCCAACAATTTTAGAGGCACGCACTATTCTTAAAAAGATATTAAAATCGCTATCCCAGATTGAGGTACTCCATGCTAAAAGCAAAATATGTTAAAATCGCAATCCTAGATTGAGGTACTCATCCAGACCAAAAGCCACATTTTGTGTGTCGATTCATATATGGTAACTATTTGAGTGACGGTACGTTTCGTATTTGCTCCGATACCATAAGCCATATGACATTTACAAAAGAGAATGAGGGAGTGTAGATAGAACGAGGAAAGATAAAATAGTTATATAATAGACACACAATTGGTAGTTATGGGAGGTTCGAATTTTGTAAACTATATTTACACATATTTTTCATTGTTTTTTTTTTTGATAATTTAAATTTAAAAAACTCACACCTTTTCACTATCTCTTATCATCTCATGTATCTCTCGATATCATAATATCTCTCAACGGTCATAGGAGTCATCCCTTCATTTTTGGTGAAGAGATTGTCATAGTAGTTATCCCATTTTTTTTTTGTCATATTAGTTATCTCAAGTCCTACATTATCTCTAAGTCATAGGGTCATTTTCTAATTTTGTTTTACACTGGTTAATCCCTCAACCTTCACTTAATAAAGTAGTAGAGAATATATATATATATATATATATAGCCTTGGAGTTTAGCATCTTTTGCCCCGCATGATGCAACCTTATTATGGAAGGAAAAAGGTTATATAAGTCCCAGGTTTACGATACAAAATAGCGCTACATTTCAAAATCTCATTAAATTTTCTTGAAACCGTTACTTGTGATATAAGCGTTAACAATTTCAAGCCTAAAACTACTTTATCTTAGGAATAATTGACTGTTATTTTTTAAACTTTAAATTTTCAATCGAGGAGCAAAAAAAGATTTTCACATCATCATCGAGTTTTTTGGCACTCAAATTGCATTTTGCACGAGGGTTTGAAATGTAGCGTTACTTTTAAATGTAGGGGACGGTTTATAAAGAGATCATTTATTTTTTGTACCTAACACCACAATCATTTCCACTTATTAGATATCAAATTGGATGGTTTGGGATGAGTCATGAAATTTGAAAATATTTTTTATGGAATTTTGTGTTTATTCAATGACACTTTATCCAATTTGAAATTTAAGGGACAGTAATGATTATGACCTCTATATACAAGAGATAAATCGTCTCTTTATAGACAATACCTTAATGTAAAGACTAAGTGATGATATTTTGGGGTGCGGCTCTAGTTTTTAATTTAATACCTAGGCCACCAAAAAGTAATATGTATATTATTCACTCGAAAAGAAAAAACAATATAGCTTTCTAAAGTGAATTGGACTACCCAATGTGGTCGGTCGGAATGTCAATTGGTTCATCGAGTGTAAAGGCAAAATATAATTTAGTAGTAAATTGGTCAAAATTAATGTGACTTTGGTAGTTGTGAATGACCAATTGGCCAAAAAAATTGGTTTAATATTTTTTAATATATTTGACATATTTAAATTATTATTGATATTTTTTATTATTTTTTATATTTTCGACTAAGTTTTGAATAGACCAAACCTCATTTATTGAAAATAAACATACGTGCCCGTGATACATACCTACCATTCAGGGGTGGCAATGTGTGTAGCATCCATCCCCTAAAAACCTAAGTATGGGGCTACAAAATGTGGCCTGAGGGCCTGCCTACGGCCATGTCAGTCTTGGGCCAAGTCCACAATAGAGCTAGCTCGACTTAACTTTGTTCTACACCATTTTTTTTTTGTTCTCCCTTTCTTTTCCTTGAGTCTATTAGGCTCGAGTTGGTTCAGGGAGAGGCACCTTGTGCCCTGTCCAGACCTGGCCGGGCTCAACCTATCCTCAACGGCCAGCCCGACCAAGCTCGGCGTATTGCACACTCCAGGCCTGCGACATGCGCTGGGGCATTGGGCTGAAATACGTGGCGGCGCCAAAACCCACCCAAAGACAATTTCAACGGTGACGAGTACTTGCGTTCCGTTGTTGTGTACCAACGTCGCATGCATCCGGTAACGTGCAAGTCCTCTCCTGCTCAAAGCCATGAACATGTGGTCCCTCTCTCTCTCTTACTCTCTCCCTTTCAGAGCCGGACAAAACCAGAAGATGGAAAGGTCACTTTCTCGAATGCCAATTTATTTCCCCATCTTATGCTTTTCATGCTAATTTTTTTGCCCAAAACCTCTGTAAATCCCTCTCGCTAAGTTGCTCTCTCTCTCTCTCTCTCTAATATTATTACTTCTCTCTCATCCTTGTTCTTTCTTTAACTGAAATTTCTTTCGCCGCCGCAAAGACCAGTATGTTTTTCTCTCTCTGTAATCCTTTTTCACTTTCCTTCCTCAACTGAAAAGCTTTCTTATGCCGTTGCCAACAAATTGTTTTCTCTATGTGCCTGCAATTGTGTTCTCTCTCTGAAATCTTTCTCTCTCAACTGAAAAGCTCTCTTATGCAACTATCGACAAATAATTTCTCTCTCTCTCTATGGTCCTTTTTACTCCCATTCCTCAATAGAGAAGCTCTCTGATGCAACCATCCATAGATTGTTTTCCCTCTAGAGTTATTTTCTTCGTTCTACCTTAACTGAAAAGGTCTCTTATGCAAACCCACAAATTTTTTTCTCTATCTCTACAATCCTTTTCTCTCACTGACAATCTCTCTAATGAAGTTTTTTTTTTATATCTACAGTCTTCCTCTGCTCATTTCCTCAACTGAAAAGCTCTCAGGCGCAATCCACAAGAGAAACAATGAAAAATTGGAACTGAGGCAACCTTGGGCGCAACCCAAGTTAGAGAAAAATGGCCATAAGTTTGAGAGTATTTGCAGGAGAACCAAGTTCGAATCTGAGGAGCATTCCCTTATGGGATGTGCCCAGGTCTAATTTCAGGGGTTGCCGAATTCTTCAGCCTAAGTTGAGATTTAAGGTTGTTGGAAAATCACTGGGTGATCGATGGAAGATCACTGACATTGATGGAGGTGGGCCTGTTTCTTTAACCATTTCTTCAATAGATTTTGGTTCTAGGTGTATGTGAATTATTGTTTCTTGTGGCGCTGTTCTTTCCTTGATTTATTTGAATTCTGTCATAAAATGGCCTTGGATTTTATTCAAATTCTGCAAAATGTCCTGTGAATGCAAATGCAATTGTTATGATGATGAACATATGTGGATTTTTTTCGTTTTTATGTAATACAAACTTTTTGACTAATGCAATTCAATTCACATGAAAAAAACGTTCTTCTTTTCTTTTCTGTAAGAATTATGGAATGTTGCATAAAGGACTGATCTTAAAAGTTCGATAGCGAAGTACCATTTAAGTTATAATACTTGAGTGGGTCAATTTATTTAATTTAGCTGTATATACGATGTGTGATTCAATGCCTTAGGAGTAGTGTGCTTGCCATTCGTGTTACAATTGTCGTAGATGTGATATGACATTTGTAACCTCATATTTTACTTGTGTCGGGTCTTAAATTGAGATTCTTTATATTATTTAACTACGTACACTTGTTAAGCTATACTATTATTGCTCATCTGCCTTCCAAGGATAAATTAATTTTCAGACCTATCTCTGGTAATTGGTTATTTTGTTGGTTACATATTGGTTTTCATGGACTTTGGCTTTCATGTTATATTGCAGACAAGTTTTGTGAACCTCCATTAAGATATAATAACTGATGGCATAATACATGTTGATTCATTATTACTTGAACTCCCTTTCCACCATGTCTTCTATTCAGTTAGCTTACTAGCATTGTTTATTTCATTTTGTGTTGTATACTAAAAATAATTACATTAGTCATTGCCTTGTTACTATTGAAATTTTTTTTTTGTGTGTGATTTTGTGTTGGATATTGTAATTACAATCGTCATTGCTATTTAGCTGGGATTGACGTCAGGCTTTTTATGATGCACAATTATTTTATGATGGTGATCTTTTAGATAAGTAGTGATTATGATTAGTGATAATGAGGAAAATGCATGAAAATATAATATATTTCATATGATTTGGATACCCACCTTCTAACCTAGCACATGGGGATATATTATATCAACCTTGGGTCGGTTCATCTCATGCTTACTTTTAATTTTTATGAATTTTACTGGAAAGGAGTATCTGAGTTGTATCAAGAGGAATAATATTATGGACTTAATTGGTTTATGTGAAATACATATGGAAATATGGAAACTTGTAGAAGAATGAATTAATTCCCTTGAGAGTATGTAGTACTCGTTGGTGCAAGTAAATAAGTCCATGGTATAGTGTCTTCCCATTCATAGGTAGTGCTGGTATCATATCATTGTATGAGTTTGTCATGCATGAAGTGATAATCATCCTTATTGTCATTATCCCCCTCATTCAATGTATATCAACCCATTAATCCTCAACAGTTACAGTGTATTGGCCTCTTGCTCCTCTTGAGCCCAAGGCCTTGGTTTTTAACTCTATCAATACCAGCCTATCCTGCCAAACCTAGCGTGCACTCATGGTATCCAGCTTTGTATGGCGTCTTTCATCCGTTGAGCTCCTTGGTCCTGCATGAACCATCTCACACCTCCACTCAAAGTGGGTTGTTTGGCTTTTATTTCACCAATTACATGAGTTCCCACATGAGGTCATACAATACTAAGCCCTTTGAAGGCTGCAAAACCCAGCAACAACAATGTCATCTAAGATGGGTCCAGGAGTTAATGGGGTTCAAATTTCAAAGTAGGATGAAATCACAAGGCCACAATCTTTCTTTTCACTCTGTGCCTGATCTTCCATGTTATGTCCTTCTAAAAGAGCATACCATCTTGAGGTCCTCAACCATCATAACTGGGCAAGAAGCATGCCATAGGGCGTGGCATTGGCAATGTGCTGAGATACATTTCATGACTTCATATTTGTATCCATAAGGATTTGTTGACAAGAAGCCTGTTCACCTGGATCTCAGTTTTGGCATGATATTAGATCTGGGGCGATATTTTCAACAATTCAATTCCCATTATTGTTCTGAATCACCCTGTCATGTATGGTTAAGCCTTAGCTTTGGGGCCTTCGCGGGAGTTTAGCCACCTTCCTTTACAAACAATAATACCAATGCTTTTGTTGTTTAATAAGATGAACTAAGAAATGAAATAGTATTTATATGAACAATGACGTCAAATATTATCAAATCAATGAATGCGTAGGTCCTTGATCAGCCTATGCAGGAGTATAGAGCGTAGTTCCTTGATCTTCTATTGTTTTACCACGTCTAGGGTATCTGCTTCATTATGTAGCTTGATTTCATTGTTAATCTTCTAAATGTGGATACCTTCGTTTTTTTTTCTTAGTAAGTTGCTATCTCTGTTCCTTCCTATGCTTAAATTAGTCTATCTCTCTATTTATTTTTGCATAACTACTGTTGGACTTATGCTTGAATTCATTAGTGGGTTTGGGTATATAATGTTATAATTACTTAAAGAACCCTGTTTGAGAGGTAGATAAATATCCTTTGGATTTCATCTTAGAGATTGTGAATCGCTATCCGTGGATCTCCTGAATATTTTTGTTTTTGTTTTCTGACAGACATGGTACGTTCATGGCTTTTGAAAACCCAGCACTATTTGAATGAAGTAGCTGCTCCACTTGTGAACACTGGGCAAAACAAAAAGACTGAAGTTGAAAATACACAAGAAAACATTGACCTGGAGGACTTTTTCATGGCAGAACAAACCATTGATAGTAGAACTCCAAATGGAAATCTTTCTTTTGCTGCGATTGTTTCAATAGAACAAATCAGCAGGTAAAGAAACTTGGATAGTTTTTTCATCCTGTCAACAGTTCAGTTGTATATCTCATATATACATGATGCTTCTGGTTTTTGTCACCCACATATGGGTGTAACTTATGTTATTTTTCCTATACTATTTATATACACTGGTTGAAGAGGAATGAGGTTAAGAAAGTTTGTAGTGTTGGTATTGTTGTATTGCTTAGTTTCTTGTCTAATGCTACCACATAGCAATTATCATAAATCTGACAGAACAATAACAAAGAAAAATTATATATAACTTGCACATCGGAGTTCTTTATTTGTAAAACTTGGCAGTGGGTGAGTTGACATGGCCAGCTTTTGCAAGTTAGAGAGAAGTTTCTATTCACTGGTATAGTCTGCAACTTGGTTATGCAAAAATTGTAACAAGTAAAAAAATCTATGTAGGGACTAAATGAAATGATAGGGTTGACCATTGTCTCGAGAGTGCCTTCCCTAGGACGGTCCTGCTTCAAGAACATGTTTTGTATTCTTGGATCGGATCCCCCTTGGAAGCTCGCTCTTGATCATTTAGGTTCTCAACCACATTCAAAGTGGGATCATTGTCCATAACGCTAGATATATACTTATATATATTTTTTGATAATTGATATATGTGTGTGTATGTGTATACACAGACACATACATATGATGAGGAATTGTCAATTATAAACATGACTACAGTTACTGTACTAGAGTAGTGCATGTGCGTGCGTTTATTTCTGTATCTATATATGTGTTGATTATATGCGCTATATTATTAGGAGATTGTGGATAGATATCTAGGTTTCATGAGTACTATCGAAAGGCTGTGGCGATTTGAGAATAGATTTCAGTTTCCTTTCTTGTCATGCCCCTAAGATCTGGAAATGCTTTTTATGGCACTCTCTTGCAATGGAAATTCCATGGTGCACGTGTAATATATTAAAAGATAATTTTTTTAGTAAATTACAGGTTCTCCCTTTGTGTGTGTGTGTGTGTGTGTGGAGGAAGATATATAAGCCAACAGGCTTTAATGTAGCATGAGCCACTTTGAAAAATAGGGATCTGTTGAACCCCAAATTGTACACATGTAGATCTCATCCAAGCAATGAAATGTGAAAATAATTTTTGAATTCACATAAGAAAAGTGAGAAAATAGGTCCTCCATTTTTAGTAAATGCAGGATGTCCATTTGGTGAACGGTGGATCTAAGCCTTCAAGAATTCAATTTTTTTTTAGTTGTTGAATCTTCAAATCAAAGGTGTGTAAAATTTCAGTCCAAAAAAACCCTCTATCTATATGTTTTGGAGCCTCCACTTGTACTATACCTATAAACCTGTTGGCTTACAGAAGTTAATCCCTGCTGCTCCCTAACATGTGTTCCCAGGTACATATATAGCATACCTAATATATAATACACATATTGTAGGAGCACTCTCAAACAAGGGATCCATACGATCCCGGAGGTAGGGATCTTTAGGCAAGCGATGATCCCCTCCCTATCCCACTCCTAGCAACTATGGAGTTTACAGTTAATTTATATTTTGAATTTGCTTGTAAGGGAATGAATGACATTTGTAAGGTGATCGTAATAACTACTGAAACTGTTTAAAAGCTTCTCTTGAAGCATTATGCCTGAGACATACATCTGTATCAGGGCTTTTCAATTCCTTTATTGTTCTAGTTATTATGGTAATTAGATTTTGTAAAAAATGTGCATGAGAACTTGGGATAGATAATATTCTCTCGATAGACCCCAGCATGCATAGATTTCAAGATATTACTCTTATAAGGCCTTCACTTTTCTGATGCCTGAATGATTTATCTCAGATTTCTTAGTGGGTTAGCTCCATTAAATCCTAATATTTTTTCTGACCTTTGTTATTTTTGAGTTTCTGCAATGTCACCGAGTTCTGAGCTATACTGACCTTTATGCAGGATGAATGGCTTAACTGGGAGAAAAATGCAGAAAATATTTGAATCGCTTGCACCTGAATCCATCCGTAATGATGCTCGTAATTTAGTGGAATACTGCTGCTTTAGGTACTTGTCAAGGGATAATTCTGTTCTCCATCCATGCTTGAAGGTTTGTAGAGTATATCCATTTGGCTACTGATTATTGAATGTGAATGTTGAAATGTCATTATTCCCATACTATTCTCACCATGTTTCAATATTCCCCATAATATTCTTGCCATATAGAGCGATATGTTTAGTTCTTCATTGGGAATCATGCAGGACTCTCTCTCTCTCTCTCTCTCTCTCTCTCTCTCTCTCTCTCTCTCTCTCTCTCTCTTCTCTCTCTCTACTCTACTTCTCTCTCTCTCTCGTCTCGTCTCTCTCTACTCT